ATAATTATATTCTCCTTATATTCCTCTGTAATTTTTATTATTTTGTCTTTCATTTCCTTCCACTCATCCTTATTGTATACTGTCACAATTATCATATCCTTTCCTCCCTCACTATCCTCTAACTTATGCAGTATCACTCCTTTCTTTTCATCGCTAAACATGCTTTTCGCTTTGTTATCCCATTCTTTCTCTATCCCCATAATAAATCCTCCCTTTGCTCTACCTCTCCTTTTCTCCCTTTCCGCAAAACTACTATACCATCTATGCGTTTTTGGTAATCCTTTCTTAATCCTATCCCATCCCTTTTCCTCCACCCATGTTTCACTTAAGCTAACATAATCCCATTTCACTATATAGTTCCAAAATTCTTTAGCCTGTCTTCCTAAACCATCTATATTCCAAAACATAATTTTCCTTCCTTTCTCTCTCCTATCTCTATTTTCATTTCTCCTATCCTCTGACCCTCTTTCTTTTCTCACTTTCTGGCTTATCCAAAATCCCTATTTTCCTCTCTCTCATTTCCCTCCTGTTCTTCCCCTACCTCCATTCCTCTGTCCCTACTTTCTTCTATTACCTCTACTTCCTTCCTTATTTCTGCCCATTTTTTCCATCTTACTTCTATCCTCACACATCCTTTCCCTACTTTTATTATCCTACCTTTTTCTTTTTCCTTCTTTGCCCATCTATTAATTTCTTCCTGTATTTTCCTATCTGTGTATGACATATCATTTTCTATAAAAATATTTCCTCCCTTCAATTTACTTTTATTCCTCATAATTTCTCTTTTCATCTCTTCCTTCGTTACCTTTGCCACTATTACCTCCCCGCTTTTCCAGCAATTACTTATCTTAATCTCTATACTCAAATTCACTTTTATCATTTTTTCCACTCTATCGCATGTAATCCATCCCTCTACTTTCCAACCTTTTATGATTATCCTGTCTTTCCTTTCCTCCCTGTCCCTTTCCATTACCATTCTTCTTAATGTATCTACCTCTTTCTCGCTCCAGCTATTACTTCTTCCGCTAGTCCTACTACCTGAACTTCTCCTGCTTCCTATCCCTTTACTTAATCTACTTGTCGCGCTGCTACTACCTTCCTCGTTACCTACCTCCCTAACCTCTCTTTCTCTTTCCTCTTCCCTTTCTCTATTTATCCCTCTTTG